TTCTTCAGATTTTTTCATTTTTAAAAAAATGATTGTTCTTCTACCATCCTAGTATTGAGAGATTTGTCTTGCAGCTCACTAATTTAGGCTTTCATTGCTTTGGATTTACTCCTTTCCCTTTCAATGTATTGCCAGTTTCTGAAATCTTGGTATTAACCTTCTGAATTTCTAATAGCAGGTTTTGTATTGTTTCAAAAGTTGCATTTATTTGTTTGTAGTGTGTTCTGAATTCTTCTAAAAATTTTTTCTGTGCTCTTGGTTTCCTCAAACTTCCTGTCAATCTTTTGAAGGTATCTAACTATGATTCTTTTTCAGCTGTTTCCATCATTATCTTTTCTTCCTCAGAAAACATTTTTGGCTCTGCATCTTGGTCATTTGTCTGAGCCATTCTTTCATTTCTTCATGTGAGCTAAAATTGCTTGCTGTCTTTGGGGACACTGGTGTTTTTATATTTACATTTAACTAATGATTGTATGTTGATGTGTTCTTAGGCTCTCAACAACTAAAAATGGAAGCCTGTGCACCATTTTCCATTGCCGTTTGGGTGTGTTTGGCTGGTGTTGGTTACTGTCAATCATTGATCAGGTGGTATTAGAAACTGGTATTGTCTATTGCCCAGTGGATGGTTTTGCCTAGGATAGGGTTATGGCTGGGCTGTATGGACTTGATTGCTGTTTCCTGTTGGGTGGGAAAGAGAAGAAAACCCTCTACACACACACACACACACACACACACACACACAAGAAAATAAACAGAATAAACAAATAAGCAACTAATAATGAAATGAGAAAATAATAAAAGAGAAAAAATAAACAAAAATAGGCCGTAATCAGAAAAAAAAAAAAAAAAAGACTGTAATAACTAAATAGAGAAAAGAGGGCCAGGAAATTGGAGCTACAGAAAAGAAGAATAAGAGAGAAAATAATAATTAACACATAAACTCCCTCTCTTGATGTCCCTGCTCAGCTTCTCCTCCCTGGAAACAGTCACTCCTTTAACATTTCCTATGAAGTTCAGGGTTCCAGGATTTTCATCTGTTTCTGTGTCATTTGGTTCTTTCCATCTTCTTTTGGTGATTCCTGTATCGTTGAATAGTTTGCTTACTGTTGTTGTGAAGTGCCTTCGAGTTGGTTCTGACTCATAGTGACCTTGTCTAGGGTTTCCAAGGAGAAGCTGTTAGATTTGAATCGCCAACCTTAGGATTCCAACTGACCTTGAGGTCCAGTGCATTATCCTGCAGCACCACAGCACGCTTGATTTCTTTTTTCTTTTGTTCTTTCAGTTTGAGAAACGATGATCGTGTTCTTCCCCTTTGATTTTAATGTTTGCCTTTTCTTCTTGAGTTGCCCTATGAAGCCTTCTGCTCAGCTCTTTTAAATCCTCATTTCTTCCAATTTCTTCCAACTTTACCTTCTCTAAAGCAAGTTCTGGTATGGCGCTGCGGGTTAATGCACTGGACTGCAATGTTGGCTTGAACTGCAAGGTTGGTGGTTCAAGTCCACTAGCCACTCCTTGGTAACCCTATACAGGGTCGCTATGAGTTGGAACCAACTTGACAGCAGTTAACAACAATGAAGCAAGTTTCAGGGTCTCTTCTGTCATCCATTTTGGTCTTTTTGGACCTTTTGTGTTCTTCCTGTATGATGTTCTAGAGGGAATCCCTCAAGTGTTCTGATCTTCTGTCATTAATGTCTCACGCATCAAATCTGTTCTTGAGATGGTCTCTAAATTCAGGTGAAGACCTGTGGGGTACGGGGCAAGGATTGCATGGAGGGGATTGTAACCATGGCAATGAGACGATATACGACGATAGAATGAATGTAAAACTAATGTTCTCCCATGTAAACTATCACATCATTCACAATAAAACATTTAAGAAAAAAAATTCAGGTGGGATATAGTCAATATCATATTTTGATGGCATGTACTTGTTTTAATTTTCTATAGCTTCACCCTGAACTTGATTATGAGCAACTGTTCCACAGTTGGCCCCCAATTTTGTTTTGGCTGATGATATGGACTTTTCTATCATCATTTCCCACAAATGCAGTCAACTTGATTCCTATGTAGTCCATCTAGTGGGGTCCATGTGTGTAGTTGCCTTTATTTGTTTAAAAATGGTATTCGCAATGAAGAAGTCTATGCAGTCTCCAGCAATCGTTTCCATTACCAAGGCCACAGTTTCCAACTACGGATCCTTCCTCTGTTTTCTACCTTTACACTCCAATCACCAGTAATTATCATTTCACCTTGATTGCATGTTGGATCAATTTCAGACTGAAGAAGTTGGTAGTGTTCTTCAATTTCATCACTGAATTTAGTGATTTTAGTAAATTTTAACAATAGTGTTATATACTAGTCTTCCTTGTTGGTGTATGGATATCATAATATTACAGACAGCATTGCACTTCACATAGATCTTGAAATGTTCTTTTGCAAGATGAATGTGATGTCATTCCTCTTCAATTTGTCATTCCTGGCATAGTAAGCCATATGACTGTCTGATTCAAAATGGTCAGCATCATCTCAGCTCACTATTGCGTAGGATGTCAACCTTTACGTATTCCATTTCATTTTTTAGGTGTTTTCCCCTTATTTTGAGTTGTGCCTCATCAGTAAATGAAGGTGCTGAATGCTTTGCTCCATTCATGTCATTATGGTCAATTCTACTTTGAGGAGGCAGCTCTTCTCTAGTCCTATCATGAGTGCCTTCCATGAAGGGCTCATCTTCAGGCACTATATCTGACAATGTTCTGTTGCTCTTCATACTGTTTTCGTCTTCCAGCACTATATTTGTCAATGTTCTGCTGTGACTCATACAATTTTTAGTGGCTAAACATTCAGAAGTGGTCTGCCTCTCCTTCTTCTTAGTCTGTTTTAGTCTGGAAACTCTGCTAAAATGGATCCACCATGGGTGACCCTGCTGGTATTTAAAATACCAGTGGCATACCTTCCAGCATCACAGTAGCACACAAGCCACCACAGTACGTCAATCAGACAGATGAGTGATGGCTAAGATAGGCACTATTATTGTTTTTCAGTGCCATTGAGCCATTTATGACTCACAGTGACTCCATGTGACAGATCTGAGCTCCTCATAAGGTTTCCTGAATGTAACCTTTACAAATCTGATTGTCGAGTTTTCCTCTTGAGGAACCACTGGATGGGTTAGAACCTTTAACCTTTAGGTTAGTAGTCTAATGCTTAGACATTTGTGCCACCAGAGTTCCTTAGGTACTATTATAGAGGAAATAGACTCAGTGCTAAAGTAAAATGTCCAAGATCTCACACTGCAGGAAATGACAGTGCTTAGATTTGAACCTTGATCGCCTAATCCCAAATGGGGTGCTTGTTACTCCAGGTAGATTAAATATTCATATTTACCTAAAATGGTGGTTAAATTCTTAAAAGACAGCTTGTGGGGATTCTTTCCAGTTTCAAATATCAATTAATGTAACTAAAACTGTTTACCAAGCACCTACTATATACCTGGGAGCACGGTGGCTCTAGAGGATAGGCACTCAAGCTGATCCACGGAAGAAAGCTGAGACTTTCTGCTCCTGCAATGATTTTAAACCTCGAAAACCCTATAGAGGGTCCCTGTGAGTCAGAATTTACTTGATGGCATTTAACAACAACTATGTTCCTTGCATAAAGCTAGACCTAGTGTTGGGGATACAGCAGTGATGGTGCTTGCTCTCAGTCTAGCTCAGGGAGCCCGCCAAGCGAAGAAACCTAAAAGATAAAGGATAAGTGCTATGAAGAAAATACAGGGGTTATGGATGTGGGTGAAAACATTTGGCCTCTTGATGACTGCTACTATAGATAGAGTGATCAGAGACGATCTCCCTGAATCGTGATATTTAAACTGAAATCCAAGCCAATAGGCACTTAACTAAAGCTAGACAGTCTGGGGAACACTGAGAAGGAAAAGGTGTACTCTACCTAAGGAAGACCGTAGAAGAATTGTTGCTTTTGAGTTGTGGTGTTGGAGGAGAATATTGAAAGTGCCATGGGTTGCCAAAAGAACCAATCGATCTGTTTTGGAAGAAGTGCAGCCAGAGTGCTCCTTTGTTGTTGTTGTTAAGTGCCGTCGAGTCGGTTCCGACCCATAGCGACCCTGTACAGGGTTTCCGAGGGTGTAAATCTTTATGGGAGTAGAAAGCCTCATCTTTCTCCCGCGGAGCGGCTGGTAGTTTCGAACCGCTGACCTTAAGGTTCGCAGCCCGATTCGTAACCACTACGCTACCAGAGCTCCTGGGGTCAGGATAGCCAAACTTTGTCTCTCATACTTTGAACATATTGTCAGGAGGGACCAGTCACGGGAGAAGGAGATCGTGTTTGGTAAAGGTGGAGGGTCAGAGAAAAAGAGGAAGACCCCCAACGAGATAGACTGGCCAAGTGGCAGCATTGATGGACTCAAGCGTGGCAACAATAGTGAAGTTGGTCCAAGATTGGGCAGTGTTTCGTTCTGCTGTGCGTAAAGTCGCTATGGGTCAGCACCGACTCGAGGGCACCAAACAACAACTAACCTAACCTTAGCGACCTAACTGGGAAGTGGACAGTTCCCGCTCTAATCTGTCCGTCACCACTAGAGGGCGTCCGAGTCCTCCCAATCCCTAGAGGCGCCAAAGTGCAAAGCACAACCAAATTGACATCTGGAACCCAAGGTAAAACGACATCCGGGTTACAGGCAGATGGAAAGGACAAAGCTGGGAAGTCCTGTGGCCTTAGGGAATAGCGAAGGGTCACTAGGCTTCTCAAGGGGAGAGCGTCCTTGGAATCACAAACCCCACTTTTGGCAAAAACGCTCACTCCCTTGGGGAAAGTGCATTTCCGGGACCTTTAAAGCAGGAAGTTCTGGTTGTGTCCAATCCTGGCGCTTCCTTCTCACTCACCCTTTGATTCGGCAGTCGCCGAGACGGTGTAGGAGCCAAGAGGCCTATGGCTACCAATCAGCGCTCGGGGAAGGCGTCTGCGTCTAGGCGAGAACGCGACGCACGGTGAATGCTGACCTGAAGGCTCCGTCGCTCCCCCTCCCTCACGGTTAAGATGGCGCTCTCCAGAGTGTGGTGGGCTCGGGCCACTTTTTGGGGCTCAGCAGTCACCCCTGGACCTTTTGTCACGCGGAGGCTACAACTTGGGTGCTCTGGCCTGGTCTGGGGGGCCCCTCGGTGAGGGACCTGGAAAGAGAAAAGCGTTTTTGACGTCCAGGCTCTTCCAGTGGCTCATCCTTGCTTGCATGCTGTCTGAGCCTCGTTCATTCTCAGGGTTGCCCGGCCGGGCCCCGGGAATGGTCCTTCTTCTGCTCAGGATTCGCAGCCCGACCCCCGATACTGACTCGGTTTCTGACCCTCTTCTCATTCTCAGTGCCCCACTTTGTCTGAATTCTGCGTGTGTGCTGAGCTCCACTTTCAAGCCTCGCTTTCTCACCTCGGGTTTACCGCTGCCACCTCGCTCCCATTTCTCTCTGGTCTTAACCTGTCGTCCACGGTATCCCCTCATGCCTTGCACTCTCCAGACTCACATCACCTGACATCTCTTGCTGCCTGGCGTCTTCCTCAGTGTGATTGCCTAGCTCTCCTTGACCCCAAGACTTTCCTTGGATTTCTGAAGTCTCGGGTCTTGGCACTCGTTCTTTGAGGCTGGTGTTTAATACTAGGGGCCAGAGGTGTGAAGAGGCTTCCAGACCTGGTTCCCAGATACTTTCTTTGATTTTCCTTGTAGGTCTTCAAAGCTTCATCTCATTCCAAAGGCAGATGTGAAGAGCTTGGTCTCTTACGTGGTGGACAAGACAAAAGTGATTCATGAGAAATACCATCGTTTTTTGGGTCGCAATTTCCCCCGCTTCTATGTCATGTACACAATCTTCATGAAAGGTAAAAAACTGAAATAGAACTCCCTTGTATTTGTCCTTGGTGAGTTACATGAAGTGTGATCATTTGCAGGTTCTGCTTTGGGAATGAGAGCTGGGATAGCTTCTGTTTCTTTAATGCTGGAGTAGTAAATCCTTATCAGATTGCCTTTCTTGAGGATATTTCTGGGAAGGTATGATAGGAAACACCCGAGAATGCCTGAGATTGGGAAGACAGTTTTGCAACTTTTTAAACTATACACACTTCACTAAGAGGAAATTTTTTGTCATGCACAAAAGCAGAATCTGAATGCTTCGAGCTGCCCTGCAAGGTACTAGTGAAGTTGTTAGGTGCTGTGTAGTTGTGCTTTACTCAGTGTTAACACAAGTTAACTCGTAGTGATTAGTGAACTTGGCCCATAAGGAAATGTCTAATGCTTCTCACAAACCTATTGGAGGTGGCGTATTTTGATAGAAATAGTGCTCAGTATACTTGTTTTCTGAAAGTCAGTGTCACATGTCGGACTACCTGAGTTCAAATGTACATTGTCCTTACTGGTTGCACAATTGAACTAGTCACTTAACCTCTTTGTCCATTGGTTTCTTATCTGTAAAATGGAGATAATGATAGAATCTGCTATATATGCTGGAATGCAAAGCCAGTTTGAACCATAAGGTCGGCAGTTTAAGCTCACCAGCTGCTCATTGGAAACCCTATACAGGGTTGCTATTGGTCAGAACCGACTGGATGGCACCTAACAACAACAACAAAAACTGACAATGTAAGGAGATCTGGTGGTACAGTGGTTAATGCACTCAGCTGATAGCCAAATAGTCAGTGGTTCAAACTCACCAGCTGCTTAGCAGGAGAAAGCTGGGGCAATTTGCTTCCATAAAGATGTATAGTCTTGGAAACCATATGGGGCTGTTGTACTGTGTTCTACAGGGGCACAATGAACCAGAACTGATTGTATGACAGTTGCTTATTGACAACATGGTTGTAAAGATTAAATAAGCCATATTAATTAATTTAATATCTACGTAAATACATACACAAAAAAATCCTTATAACAGGATTTTATCTATCATAAGAGTTCAGTAAGTGATAGTGCTTGGTAATTATTATACTTTATATCTTTATCATAATGTTAATTACAGTAAACAACCATATTGGAAACTCTGAATGTTATCATCATCTTTACTAGCTTCATGAACTTGCACAAATTGCTTATCCTTTTCTGTAAATTGAAGGTAAAAATACTTGCCTTGTTTACCCTCATGTCTACTGTGTCTACCCCCAGGTTTTTAATGTAGGATTGAGTAAGAAGAGGGTCTGGAAGCATTTTGATTGTTTTATTTTTAACTTTTTATTATGGAAAAAATTTAAACATACATTAAAGGAGAAAGAGTAGCATAAAAAACTTCTCTATACTCAACTGCACTTCAGTGTTTATCAGCTGGCAACCAGTCTTATTTTATCTATAGTCCTGCCTTCTGTATTTTTTGAAGTCAGTCTATTCATTATATCATTTCATTCAAAAATACAAAAGTATTAGGTAGATTGTTGCTGTTGTTAATTGTCGTCGAGTGGGTTCCTACTCATATCAATCCTGTATAGGGTTTCCGAGGAGTCGCTGATGAGCTTGAACCACCAACCTATGGTTCAAACAGACCTTGCCGTCCAGCACATTAAGCCACAGTGCTACACCAGGATTCCATTAGATGGATGTAAGCATTATTATAGAATGAAGATTATATAATCATAGAAATATGGTAAATTACAGTAATTACAAAAGTGTTCCATTGAGGAGATGAGGTAATATCTGGCCAAGGCATACATAGAGTTCATTGAGCAAGACTTCTTGGGTGTAGGAAGCTTTGAATTTTGATTTTTAAGAAAGAAGTGATTAATGAACCGGAAAAATGAGAACCATTCCAAAATAAATCACAGAAGCCTATCTTGGCTAGAAGAGATGTAGGAGGGAGATGAGAAAAGAGATACAGGTTGGGCTCCTCAGAGTTTCAAGTTACCTAGTTTGAAGTTTTTATCTAGGATCGGGGAAGGTCAGGTATGCGTGCATGTGGGTGAACATGGAGCAGGAAGCTGCTGTGTTGAGATTAAACTGGGATAACATCACACTCTGTGCTCTACTTTAATGAGGCAGGATTTCGGATGTTATGGGCTGATGCCAAAAAGGCTAGAAGAATAAAGGCAAATATGTGGAAGCAAAATATAAAGTTTCATCAACTGTCATACCGGGACATGGAGCATTTGAGACAGGTATGGGCCAAGGGGACAGATAGCCAGAGTTCATGTGAGGTAAATAAAATTAATGTAGCTCTCAGGATTTTTTTCCTTGTTCACCACTGATCAAGCTCTTGCCATCTTCTGTGAAACCAAAGTATTGAACTGAATGAGGGCATCAGGTTTTGTCAGAGTCAAGTTTCTTCAGAGTCGTAGCCTTCCACAGCAGAGCTCCAGCGAGTTTCTGGCACAGTTTCTGAATGAAAATTGTGAGCATTAAAATTCAAATTACTTCTGAATAGACAAATCTGGAAGGATCCAAAGTGTAACAAGGAAGGAGTACTTGGTAGACCCATTCTGTATATCAGGAAACTAAATAGGATGAAGTCCTATGGGATTTGGTGTATGTCAGGCTCGGTCCTAAACATTATCTGGGACATAAAAGTGAGCAAATCATAGGCTTTGTTGTCTAGGAACTTACCACTTAGGGCTGGAGAGAAATAACCTTGGTCTCCTAATAGGCTGTAATATATGCTTACTACACAGTGGGATGGAGGGATTGTTCCTTATGCTAAGGACTTACCTGGGTTAAAAATGCACCTGTATTTGTTTCTGCTTAGTTCAGCCGAGACGTCACCAAGTGTATTTTCATAGGCATCATTTCCATCCCACCCTTTGCCAACTACCTGGTGTTCTTGCTAATGTGAGTACAGACTTTCATTTCCCCAGTTTCTTTAAGATATGTAGCTGTTATTTTTTTAATTAAAAATTATGTTTAGGAAGAATTTTCCATTTCAGAACGTAGGTCATCAGACTTCTTACTCCAAGCCTTCTCAGGATCCCCAAAGTTCATGAAAGCCCTTCAGTTACATTGGTGAACTGAGAAGCATTGCAGATATTGCTAACATAGATTCCCTTTCTCTTAGTTGCCACTGTGTGATGTGATGTGATGTGATGTGATGTGATGTGAAATGAGATGATGACGTACTCCATCTTTCCTGGAGGCAGCAGCCCAGTCCTGAGAGGCATACCAATTTGGGACACTTTTTTTTTTTTTTTTTTTTTTTCAGGAAAACATACAAAAAGCATGTTAGATTCATTTTATGTTCCATTTGCCTTTTGCTGTATAACAAGCAACCCCATAACTTTAATAGCTTAAAACAACCACCACTTTCATGATTTTTGTGTATCAGGAATTTGGGCAGGACGTTGGTGGAGCAGTCCAGGGACATTCCTATGTCTGGTGCCTTGGCAGAGATGACTGGAAGACTGGAACTGATACCCAGGGTGGCCTGTATGTGGCCCTTCAATATGGTGGCTTCCGGGTAGTGGGATTTCTTACATGACAGTATTACAAAGTGGGTGGCCCAGTGAATGATGCAGATGCAATCCTGTCCTTTTATAACCCAGCCTTAGGGCTTACATAGAATCATTTCTGCTCTATAATATTGGTTGAACAGCCACCCAAATTTAAAAAAGGGAATAGAGACTCCACCTGTCAGTAAGATGTGCCAAAGAATTTGTGGCCTTGTTATAAAAGCACCACACATGTAGACAAGTAAGCAAACGTATCACCTTTTATATACTTTATACGACGGGGCTTCCAGGAGTTTGTGGGAAAATTCCATTATTCCACAAATTTTTTAAAGACCCCTCGTACACATTAGGGACAATGCTACAGTGTGAAGTCAACATCTCATGCAGTGTGTAGTCTGTAACTCTGTTCGGCTTATCCAGAGCATGTATTTCACACCTCATTGTATTTGATCACTGCACGCTGGGCTTTTCTTCCACCGCTTCTGCCCATACACCTCAGTGATGATACTCGATCCTTTCACATATATCAGTAACACTGCTTGAAACTGTGCTTCCGTGGATCTTTGAGTTTTGGTTTGAGACCTGTTTAGCTAAAAAGAACAGTGAGGTAGGGAAATCATGTCTCTGTCTCTTCTCCCTAGTATTCACGTCTGCCAAAGACTTTGTAGGCTCTCTTTGAAAGATTCTTATTTCAGCAAATGACTTCATGATTCCTTTTCCTTTTAGGTACTTTTTTCCTAGGCAACTACTAGTCAGGCACTTTTGGACCCCAAAGCAACAGACTGAATTCTTAGATATTTATCATACTCTCCAGAGGCAGTCCCATCCAGAAATCCTTACTTGTTTAGAAATGACGATCCCAGCCATTTCTGATGCAGGACTCCGGTGGCATCTCACAGAAGTATGCAACAAGGTATTTTTCCCAGTTGACCCTCTGTACAAACCAGGAATCTTGTTAGATAGATCCAGTTTCACTGAAATAGGCTAGTTAATTAAGACCATCTTACCATCTACCAATCTCTTACCTCTCCCAAGATACACCATGGTACTCAGCCAGCAGTAAATGATATCCTTGCTCTGAGAGAGTGCTTCTCTAACCGTCCTCTGGACATGAACCATCTCCAGACTTTGCAGTTGGTGAGCACATTGAGGTCTTCGATTTCCTACACAGCCTCGCTTTACTTCCAGTCTTTGCTTGACGTAACCGTAGGTTGACTCTTTTTATGTTGTGTTACAGAAAGCCTTGAGCCGAGCCATGCTTCTTACTCCTCACCTGCCTCCTTTCTTGTTGAGAAGCCGTTTGAAGAATCATACCACTGTGATTCATCAATTGGACAAAGCTTTGGCAAAGCTGGGGATTGGTGAGCTGACAGCTCAAGAAGTGAAGTCGGTAAGAGCTTGATTGCAACATCAACTCTCAACCCTCAGTGGGCCTGTAGAAGCCTGGGCTCCTGGTGTTGTCTCTTATGTTGTTATATCTAAGCTCGTTATTCTCTCAACTCATTTCTTTCTCTTTCTCAAGCAACTTAACGAGTGGGAATGGCTTACCCACAATAATTTTAGTTCATATTTCTTTTCTAAAGACACTATCCTCTAGACCTGTTGTTTTAGATTATACGAGTATAGACCTCTTTCCTTGTCATCTTGTCCATCACCAGTTCCAGAACTCTTCTTCCAGCGCTTGAACACAATGAAGAGAAATCACCATACTGAAAGTAGATGAGATAGTAACTTATCTAACTTGTTTAACTTATTTAAAAGGACCCCTGGTTGCACAGTGACTAAGTGCTCGAACTGCTAACCCTCAAGTCAGAGATTTGAACCCATTAGTCACTTCTGTTGTGGCACTATAGGATAAGCACTGGGCCGCAGAGTCGGTTTGAACCTTAAGGTTGGTGGTTTAGACTCACCAACCACTCCTTAGAAATCTTAATACAGGGTCGCTGTGAGTTAGAGCCAACTCAATGGCACTTATCAACAACAACAAACTACTCTGTGGAAGAATATACCTGGTGATCTGCGCCTATAACGATTTCAGCCAAGAAAACCTGATGGAGTAATTCTGTTGTGTAGAGTTGCTATGAGGTGGAATGAACTTGGCAGCACACAACAAGAACTTATTTAAAAGATATGTAGGATTTTTTATGGAGTTTTACTCCCTTGGCATATTCAGTCTATTGATTGTTAAGGACCATTTTTCCTCTGGGTGGTATAGGCTTGTTATCTCCGTGGCCTGAATTCTACCCACATTGCTGAAGAAAGATGCCGAACTTGGCTGGGAGAATGGCTGCAGATTTCCTGCAGCCTAAAAGGTAAGATGAATCCGTATGGTTATGCCACTGAAACCCAAACCATTCTGTCATTCTATTCTGATAGTATTAGTGGGGAGAAGAAGAGGGAGAATAGCTATTGAGAATTTGTGAGCCCCTTCCGTAACATAGTATGTCTAATCGAAACAGTACAAAGTCACATGCCTATAGGGGCTAGGCAGTTAATGAAGCAGACTGTGCAAGGCAACATCAGGGAGTAGTAGGTCCTGTGGGGATGTGCGAATCTCCATCAGACTTTCTCAACCTCAGCACTATTGACATTTTGTTCTGGGGGAATGGTCATGCATCAGAGGGTGTTTAGCAGTAGAACAGTACTTGTGAGGAGGACGCAGGAGCAGTGTTTCATTCCGTTGTGCATACAGTTGCTGTGAGTCAGCCAGCTGGAAGGCACCTAACAACAACAAAGCAGCGTCCCTGACCTCCGCTCACTAAATGCCATAGTACCGCCTCATTCTCAGTAGTGACAACCAAAAACATCTCCAGATGTTACCTACTATCCATGGAGGGCAAAGTTGAAAGGCGTGCACTTTCAGCTCAAAAACAAAAGCACTCAACTGGTTGAACAAAGCTGTGTGAGCAGGGGTATTAGGCCTGTGGGTCTCGATGTTTTCTAGGTCTTTGGGTATTAGGATAGGCTTACTCATCTCCTAGGAGCTGAGAAATGTCCCCAGAGCACAGGTTTCTACCAGAAGAATCCCAAGGGTAACAATGATGTTGAGTATTGTCCCTGCAGTTTTTACTGCTTTCACATGAAAATCAAGAGATAGAGAAAGGGCTGATCAGAAGGTGTGAGGGGACTTGCAAAAGTTCATAGGAAATTTCGTGATCTTTTAATTCTAGTTTTGCACAAATGTTGGAAAACCCCCTCATAATTGTAGAAGCAAAGCATGCATGTGGAGGCTGTAACAAGGCAGGAGAACTGAGAAAACCACCATCTAATGCCACACCTCCCTGCACTTGACACCCTGCCACCGTGTATTCCAAGGTACTTAGAAGGCAGATTGTTCCCTGGCCAAACCACTATTATTGATGTTTTCAGAAGCTGAGCTGTCCCTCTTGCTACACAACGTGGTCCTGTTTTCTACCAACTACCTTGGGACACGGCGCTGAGCGACCCACAGATTGGATGGCACAGTCCTGCAGTCACACAATGCAGCAGCGTGGGACCAAACGGCACTTGTCAGCAGTCTGTGTGCACTGTTAGGTGTGTCGGAGGCAGAGGAGCAGGTGCCACAGATTTCAGTGGTACCTGTAGAAGAGCTAGACATTCCCCTTGCAGCTAGAGCTGAAGCAAACCCTCTTACTAGGGTGGCCCATGTGAAGTGGTAACCCAACTCCAGCACAGTTCGCTGGAGTCAGCTACAGCCTGTATACTGGGCTTTTACTGTGTCACGTTCAGGTCCTGGGAAGTGAGCTGGCGCCCCAGGTGGGAATTCTTATTTGACCTAGGACCCATCCACTGCCATACTCTTTACAGCTGTGGTGTATTGTTTTTCTCTATCTAGCTGCTGGGAGCAGCACAACTTAAACTGGAGCACTTACATGTCTGCAGGTACCTTGATGCTCTCTCTCCTCATGACATAACCAAAAGTAGGGTTTTGTCCTCACTGGCAGGAGCTAACCAAACCCTTTGACCTTTAGGAAAAAAAATAAAGTAATAACTTATGGGAACATGTTAGTGGAAAAGATACAAGCACACGAGTGCTAATTGACCCTTTCTCCAGGGTTTATTTATAGCCTTCATGCCCTATGTCTTAAACTTCTGGGCTGCAGCACAGCCCCTATGGATTCACCTCTGCTACCTCCACTGTGTTGCAGTGATCCACCTGCAGTGGCTACCTGTGAGCCATGGATCGAATCCATAAGGTACTCATTACTGCCTGCCTAGGGAGACCAGGAGAGGTCTGCATCACAGTAGTTAAGTTAGGCCTAACATTTGTATGTGTACATCAGTGACTTGTAACTTATTGTAAATGCATGAAGCACTGTTTATGAAACCCAAGTAAAGACTGACTGAAAACTAGTTGCTGGAATTACTATGCACACTCTAATCATTTTACTAAGACTCCTTCCTTTTACAAGACTATCATAACCTAATTAATGGGGAAGCATCTGCTTGAAACAGAGCCTTGTGATGGGATGGCAGTTATGAAGGGACTGGTTTGAAGCTGTTCCTCTTGATGGGCATCTTAATATGCCCTCACAGGAATAGAGAATTTCCTATTTATGAAGTTCATAGAATTAAAAATGAGATCCAAGTGTGAAATGCTAGTGACAGGGCAAAGCTCCAACAGGACAGCTGAAGGGCTCTGGATCCTCCAAAGAGAATACTGTTTTTGCATCATCAGATGTTTTGATATGCTAATAACATCAATCCCTAACTGGCCTAATTACTTTCAGTACAAAGCTGAAGAAGCATCCCTTCTCTAACAAGTAACTGAATTGCAGCCTGCCAAGACAAAGAATAACAAACACATCACCCTTTTGAATATTTTCTTTAATATTACATTTAAATAGTCTCTTTAAATACAGCATTATCACAATGTAAAGGACCTAAAGGCAAAAAAAAAGTTTTTTGTTTTTTGTTTTTGTTTTTTTCAGAGAAACCAGACAAGCTTTGGATTCACATTGAAAATACTACCTGTGTACAGTTATGTGAGAAAGGAAATTGGAAAATTAAGAGTTGCAAAGTCATTTCTTTTTATCTAAGCCTAGTCAGAATGGGACTGGAGCTATCTGCTTCTGTGATCAGAGGCCTAGCTTCCCAACAACCACGAGCCACAAGTTTCCCGTCCAACTCAGGTAGCACCAGAGATGAGATGGACTAGGCTGTAGAAAAGGCCCTTTTCTTGACAATATGGTAATGCCAAATGTTAATATTTAGCATTCAGAAACTTAGAATTATATCATTGTAATTAATGACTTATATTAAGAAAGGAGTTTTCAGAAAAACTCAAAAACTCCTGGCTAATGGGTCTCACTGAGCAGCACGAATCCACTTTAGTAGATCAGGTGGGAGCCTTTCTGAGGCGGGAAATGTGCAGGTAGAGCTCATACTCCTTCTGATGCAATTTCAGAAAGATTTCCTCCCTCCAGCAAACTAAATTCCCAGTGAAGCCAAGGGGCATGTAGCTCCCTTTATTTAGCATCTGAAAGTCAGCTACATTAAGACTCTCAACTCTGCTTTGTTTAGCTGGAGGATGGGGAGAGATTAAGGACCTACATACTTAAGAATGCCCCTCCAAACAAAACCAGTAATGATTTGGGGGTGCAAATTGGGCTAAGAGATGTATCTGTGTTGAGTAAAGGCCTATTGATTCAAAAGAGTATCGAGATTTCATAGGTGAAATGCTGCAACATACATGAAGGTTGTCTTAAGACACGAGGGCCTTAGTTATCTCACAAGAAAAAGCTTTATGGGTAAGATAAGAACAGTTACTCTCCCATTCCCCAAAAAAAGGTTTTCACTTTTTTTCGCTCCTGGTTAATAAACCATACCAGAAATGCAGCAGTGGTGGGAAGGATGATAGAGAATACTGTTTTAAAGATAACTTTGCTAGTAAGAAAGAACTCTGTTATTGATGGAGTATAAGCTGAATGGGACAGGAACTATACCTCCTGACAGAGGTAAGAATTGAACTGGAGTCCCATTCTGTAAACTTCCTCGGTTATTTTCAGAGCTTGTGTTACTAGGAACTTAAGGGTTGTATGTGGCATTTGGGAATTGGTTTGGTCCCCAATTTTATTGTCATCAAGGTTAGCTGCAGTTCTTGGGGGTGACGTGAAATAGTGTAAGAACTCTAATCCTGTACATCTAAGAAAGACCATGAGGTTAGGTACAGAAAACAAAAGCAGCTGGTGACCTTGATTGCCAAAACCTACATTCCATTAAAGAAATCTCCCAAAGAGGGAGAAAACCTAGCTGAAAACGCGAGCATGGCACAAATAAAGTCATCTTCCCAGACAGCACTCAGCTGCCTCCTTTGGACAGAGTTAATGCTCCATATAAGCCTCCCATGGGGTGTGTGAGCCCCAACCTAAAGTCACCTGACAGGCAGTGTTAGACACAGGGAAGACTCAGGCTCTTTTAAGCCACATCTGCATCCAATCTAGCTTTTTCTCCAAAGATAAAGATGGGAGGGAAGGACAAATAGACAAGTTTAACTCTAGTACCTAAGAACCTGTGAAAGAAAACAATTCAAGTTACAGACCAGGAATCCCCAGTGTGGGGAACAGGTCAGAGAACAGCAATATGTCAAATATTAACTTATTTACCAAAAAAGGGTGGGATAAGGGCAGGCTACATTTTTATAAATCCTGGAGGTTTTATACAGCAGACACCCTTCAACCCTTCCTCTCTAGATTTGATTAGGTGACACTGTACTCTAATGATGCACCAAAAAGTGGTATATCACAGAAATCACTGAGGAAAAGGAGTTTGTGATCCGAAAGGAGCTCAGGAGAGAAGGGGCTTTGCCCTGCTATTCAAATTCTTGTGTTCTGGTCCCTACATAAATAGCTGCTTCAATTACCCAGCTTCTCCTGTTAGTTCTTTGTTCTAATGGCCCAGAAAGCTCAGTGTTCTGCACTTTGCAGCCTCCTCTGCCCAAGACCCCACTCCCAGATCAAAGCTGGGGTTGGTCTCCTTGGTTCTGTTTCCCTTTTAAAAAATACTTGTACAAACAATCCTTTCCCACCCACTCCCCACAGACCTCAATGAAATAACATGGGAGCAGCAGCTGCTTCTACAGTTTTGTTTTGAAATGGTGTTAGATAAAATAAGGGAATAAATAGAGAATGGGTAAGAGGCCGACGCTCCATTCCACATCGTCACACTGTTAGAGGGAGTTCTAGTGCAGAGTCCTCAGCGGGCCGGTCCTCACATTGCTGGGAGGTCTTCTCGACCCCACCGCCCTCTTCATTGTCCATGCGGAAGGGGAGGCTTGAGGGGGACCACGAAGGGTGGAAATCATCATTCTCAGGGTCCTCTGGGTTACAATCTTCAGGCAACAGCGCTTCTAGAGTGGATGTTTTCCCCCCCTCTGATTTACAGAGGACAGCTGGGTCTGTGGGGCTGCAAGCCACCAGTGAGGTAACAGGGAGAGAGAAGACACTCAGATCCTTCTCCTTAGGGAAAGGGGGAGGGGCCTCTTTTGTACCAGGCTCTCCTTTTACCCCCAAGACTGGCCTCTGCTCCACCTGATAATAGACCAGAGGCCCGCTGTTCAAGTAGGATGGGTTGTTCACTGTTGAGGCAGTTGGGTGATCTGAGTTCTCAGCAAAACACAGGACAGAGGAGCCTGGGGGCAGCTGAGCCTGGATGAGAATGGGGGCTGTGAGGCCTGGGCACAGCTCTTCAGGAACAGCTAGGGGCTCCTCCAGGATGCACACACCCAAGCTCTCAATGCTAGAGTCCAGGCTGGCACTTGAGCCACTGGAGTCTTCCTCTGCCTTGAGCCGTTCCAGTTCCTCTGCGCTCTGCAGGTGCATCACTGCCGTCTCGTTCTCCGCAATGAACTCCTGGAAGTCCTGTGTTTCAGAGCCCTGTGCTCCTGGCAGGCTACAACTGGCAGTAGGTGAGGGATCCTCATCTGGAGCTGGGGGGCGGCTCACCTGCCGCTTGCTCTCTAGCTCCAGCTTCATGATGGTGTGGAGGTAGTGAGTCCGGACCCGGATAGGGTTAAATTCAATGCGCCCAGCCATATTCCCACAACCGTCTCGGGAGCAGCCACATGGAAAGGACATGCGATCCACCTGAGGGAGTAGACAAGGGCGTTGAGGCAAGATGAGACCAACATCATATCAACAATGGAGACAGAAGACATTATCTGGCAAACAAAGGCACTGGTGATTTGAGGTCTTCCTACAAGAAGAGATTAGCAACCAACTCAAAACAACATACAGTATGTTATGAGTGAACAGCATGAGATACGAATTACTAAACCACTTGCATTTCCATTCCAGTTCAGCCATTAAGTAATGGTGTGACCCCTAAGAAAGTCTTTTCTCTCTCTAGGCCTTTATTCCGTTTTCTAAATAAAAGGTGGACAAAAATTGCCAAAGGGCCCTTCCTCTTAAAACAGTCCAGAGATGGTGATAGCTCAGTTCTAAGAGAAGAAATGTACGTGTCTCAAAGACTTCCAGAATGTACCTGGTTTACTGATACAGAAGAAAAGGCTGAGGTCCAAAGCAATACATTCTGGGGAGACTAAGGCACTTTATATGGCACTAGAGTGAAGGTTCAAACAGTAACGGCCAACTTGCTTTGCTTTTTCTCTGAAGGTTGTTTAGTTCTGAAGCAGCTGCCAAGACCTAACAAGGCATATCTATCTGCATAGGAGATGCTTTCTACCTCCTTTATTTGTCTTTTGGACTTCGAAAAGCAGGGAGGACCCCCAAGTAAGCAAATAAACATATACAAATATATCTTCCTACAATACCAACTTCTTCACGTCTGTTAATACTAGACAGATGGCATTAGGGGACTTCAGTCTTTTTTGAAAAGCATATTTTGCCAGATTCAATACAGCTATTTGTTACCTATCGAAGCATAAGAATTAGGATAAATTCAACTGCAAAGACTGTAAGACATCTTCAGTATAAAAGTTTGAGATACATTTCATTCTTTAGGGTGGTACAACTCTTCCAGTTGAAATGACTCCACCAAACTCTTGTCAGAAAGCCAGCAAGGGGAAGAAGATTTCTGTCTTTCAGGACACTATGGATTTAAGGTCTGCCTGACCAAACATAAATCAATGAAAACAACCAATTGCTATCAGTCAATTCTGACCAATGTAAACGTGTCAAGAGTAAAATTGAGATCCACGTTTGTTTTCCATTTTTGAAATATTTTAAAATAACTTGTTATAGAAAATCTACAGCAAAAACATACCAATTCAAGTTCCTACGTGTACAACCCAGTGACACTGATTACTTCAAATTGTGCAACTGTTCTTTCTCCTTTTCTAAGTTCTTCCTTGCCATTCTCATTGGGTTGTCAATGGCCAAGTTTTGTGGATGTAAACTATCAGGCCTTTCTTCTAAGGTGCCTCTGGGTAGACTTAACCCTTCAACCTTTCAGTTAGTAGGCAATCACATTAAAAATGTCTTTGCCACCCAGATACACCATGATCTTGAATTACAGGACCTGAACGTTTTGATTTTTACAAAATTGGTAGTGAGACTGTGCATAAGTTTACAGATAGAATCTGCAGGCCCATCTCATTTCTCTGCTTCCTTTTATCTCAGAGAGTCAGTCAATATGTAATGAACAGCCACTACGTGCAAAATATAATCAAGCTGTTCCTCCACTGCTGACAGTGGCTTCTGATTTCCTGAGGTGTGACACACAGTCGTGGTAATGGGTATCCGACAGCCTGACGGTTGTGGAACTGAGTGTTCAGTTATGAGAAATCTACCCCTGGATGGTCAGCCTCCTGAGCTCACTGGCACCCACCCAGACACCCCTGGCCCTGGTGCATATATACCATCTCAGGCCGTGTTGGACTAACCTGGCATTTAATCCCAGCCTGGCTACAGGCACACGCTTCTGGGTCACAGTATAATCGACAGTCACAACCACACTCTTCCCGTGAGAGGCGAATGGCTCGAAGTTCTTGCTTTTCTTCAGCATCAATGCGGTGGACCCCGGAAGCCCTCAGCAAAGCTCGTCGCCTTTTGGTGGGCAGAGGCTGCAGGAAGAAATAATCATCCACCTCCACATTTTCCACATCAATATCTTCATCTGAAACATCATCCAGGGTCAGGCCCTCGGCCTCTACCGACTCCACTGTGCCATTCTTGGTCAGCTGTCAAGAGATAGGAAGGGTTATTCTCTTAAGCATCATCAGCGTTCTCAAAGATTATCTAGAACTGTCCAATAGAATATCTAGAGTGATGATCACTCACCAGTACAACTTTAACTCTGCTCACTTACTCATTCAATCACAAAATACATGTCAAGTATATTTTATATACCATGTACTAGAAGAATTAGGGAATGAAAGGACCCCAATTCCCATGAAGTTTATATACACACAGACAGACAATAAACGAATTGTTGTTGAGTCGATTCCCATTCACAGCGACCCACAAGGCTGCCTAGTCTGGCATTATCACAGGCACGTTGTTGAGTCCACTGTATTTTCTCATAAAACTTTCTGCCATTAGCGATATGTGACTATTAAAACCAAACCCACTGCCATCAAGCTGATTTGACTCACAGCAACCCCACAGGAGAGAGAAGAATTGCTCCAAAGGGTTTCCGAGGCTGTAAATCTTTACGGGAACGGACAGCCTCATCTTCTTTACACTTAACCCAGCATGTCACCAAGGTCCTTCACGTGAGCACTAAAAATACGGCTAGTGCAAATGAGGAACAAAATTCTAAATCTTAGTTTTTATGAAATTTAAATATAAGTCACATACAGGCATACCTGATTTTATAGTGCTTCACAGATTTTGTGTTTTTCACAAAGATATGTAGCAACCCTGTATTCAAGTCTATTGGTGCTATTTTCCAAAAGCATGTGCTGATTTCTTGTCTCTGTCACATTTTCATAACTGTCACTCTATGTTAAACGTTTTCCACAATGCTACATTGCACACTAATAAACAACAGTACAGTGTAAACATAGTTTGTATGTACACGGGATACTCACTTTATTGTGTTATTTGCTACACTGAGGGCTGAAATTCAATCTATAATATCTCTGAGGCATGCCTACATACAAGGGTAAGTCAGAAACTATTGCTGCAAAACCACAGAAACCTCTATCAAACAAAAATGTCAAACTATGAAGCTGTTGTTTCTCAACGTATCCTCTGTCTTGATCTACAGCCTTTTAAAGGCAGTGTTTCAATCACTTTAACCTTTTCCTGAAGAATTCTTCACATTGTAATTTATACCATATGAAAATGACAGGTTGGGCATTCTCATAGGATTCAGATGATGTTCCTTTTAATTGTTCTTTGAATTCTGAAAGAGCAAGATCAGAGCTGTAAGGTGGATAAGATAAAGCTTTCCTCTACAATTCTTGTAGGACAGCTCTTGCTACCATAGAAAAATGAGCAGGTGCATTGTAATGATGGAAAAAAATTCCCTGACACGACATTCCTGGCCTGGCATTTTTCTAATCAGTGCAGTTTTCAATTTTCTTAAAACTTTACAGTAAGCCCCCATGATTGTCCTGTATCCTTTAAGAAAACTATCAAGATTTTGTCCCTTTGGAACAATAGCAAAAAACAGTTGCCATCAATTTTGATCTGACCCCTCTACCCTGAAGTTGATTCATTCCATAAAATCATCTTCAGCTTCAATCTTACTTAAAAGACTGATGGAAAGATCAGCTCTTTGAGCTACCTGTAAGCTTACTGAGGCCAAGATGTTTGCTTAAAAGTGAAAATGCGGAATCCTGTGAGCTCCCAACTGCAGTAGCTATTGCATTAACGTTAATTCTATGGGTTTCTCGTACCAGTAGCTGGACTTCAAATAGTTTCTTCATTCGTTAAGGATGACTTTCTTGGCTCATTTTTGAGGTATTCCTGATCTTCCTTAAAATACTTTTATCCATTTAAGAACTGTTATTTTAGTGGGGCAGCATTCCTGTAAACTTGCTTCAGTGATTTGGGAAGATGTCCACACCTGAGCTTAATTAAAAATCTGGTATCAGCCTTGACCTTAAAATCGACTTTTCCCTGGCACAAAAGGGATTCTTTTATTTGAAGGCACCCTAATAAGACTAACACAAGTGTGTTACTGAGAGAATGTGTCTGCAGAGATGTTTTGTCTGGAATAAACCCATGCATGTAAGAACTAAAACCCTACTAGTAATCCATGTTGATTTACCCTTGTACATACAGTACATTGTACAGTACAAGTCAAAAATCTGTGAACATCAGTCTCCACGACCCTGAGACCAGAAGAACTAGATGGTGCCCAGCTATCTCCACGAACTTCTCTGAAAGGGATCGCATTTGAGTGACAGAAAGAAAATGTGTTACAAAACTCTAAATTATTAATTAAAAAGACCAGGCTTACTGGTCAAAAAGAGACTGGAGGAAGCTGAAACTAAGGCCTTCAACCACCCTTCATGTCTGGAAAGGAACTCACCCTTGTGGCCCAATTTTCAGCCAAGCTATAGATAAGTATATAGTGGGGACAGCAACACTACACTCAACAAGGTGTACTCACCATGGAATGACCAATCATTAAAAATCAAAAGGGTAACATTTACCTAAGGACAAAGTTGAGAAGAGATGGGAAGGAGGGTGGGAATGGAAATAGGAACCTAAGGAAGGAACTGGGATAACTTGTTGCATGGAGGGGATTGAAATCATTGAGAAAAAAATAATGTCTGATTTGTTGAATGTAAAATGGATTATCTTGTCTGTAAACTTTCACTCAGTTCACAATTAAAGGTTAAAAAAAAAGGATAACCTTTCAAACCACCCTCTAATTTGTACCCCATTGAATCTAAATCACCTTCTGAGAAAAAGGGTATAGAGCAAGGTATAGAAGCATAGTACAAGCCCAGCAGTTCCTCAGTGAACTTGAATCCCCACAGTGTGAACAATTATCTGTGCATACTCGGAGGAGCCTCATTTTAATGGTAAGAAGAAAAATAAGCCAATTACTAACAGCAATCAAAACCCTTGTTTCCAACACAGGGCCTGGAAGAAATGTGTTATTTTTTACTAAATTTCAAAGAAAAGCTTCATCTGTGGTAGAGGGGTGCACGTAATAGTGACTTACCCTACTTACAGGCAGAAATCTGGGTTCTAAAGTGGGCAGAGAGCCAGGGAAGGGAATCTTAGCGGAAGGACAAGTAGAAGAGAATGTATGGCTGAATGAGTTTTGAAAGCTCAACTGGAGAATTCAAATAAAGAAAATGAGGCCTTGTAGTCCCTGGGGCTCTGGAAGCTGTTAGCAGTGTGAAAGCCAAGTAACTGGAAGCTTTGGCTGAGTGCATCAGACAACTACAGCGTAGCGCTGGTAGAGAAGCAACTCCTAGGAGAGAGGTGATGCAATGATCTGGATAGTAAGCTACACACCAGGTCTTCAGTTTGAGGGGTTGAGGTGGAGTGGTGACGGGGGTAGGGACAGGGGAGGTGATGGGGAAATGAGAGATGTGAAATGGAATTTCTGGGATTCCCTAATCTGTACAAGGCAGGACAAGTGTTGGGCCCTTCAGCAGGGTGGCTCCTATCGACATCACCAGTGTTGACTTCCTCGTAACCACCCTCACTCCTGCTGTCTTCTCAAAGGTAAGAGATTAGAGATGCAGCAGAAGGAAACCCACAGGGACATGAGAATGTAGTGTATCTTGATAGAGGTGGCCTTTCAAATCAGTGAGCAAAGAGAGCCTTCTAGCCATTAAATGGTATTGGGGTTAAGTGGGTATTCTTTTGAAAAGAAACACAATTAACATTCTGAATTCACACCATTCATAACACTGAACTGTATGTGGGTTAAAGGACAATATAAGAAACACATAATAATCAAGTAATCAAGTATTGTTGTTGTTGTTGTTGTTGTTAAGTGCCATTGAGTATTAGATGCCTCCAAAAGGTCACAGCCTTGAAAGCGCAAGAAGCAGCTCTCTTATATGCTGTTGTCCTGAGTCAGAATCGGCAACTAACAGCAACTCTCATAAGCCTCCCCACTAGACTGGTGAAGTGGGGACACGCTCTAAGAAGAATATAAGGCCTGGGAAGGGCAAAGTGAGGGCTTTCTCTTGACACAAAGATGGAGAAGATGGCAAACTGCTACTGCTCACTTAATCTGTTAATATGTACAAATTGTGGAACTTAGTCTTGGATTTGCTGGCTGTGACCCTAGAACTCTTACGGGGGAGGGTGGGGGTGGTGGTGGCACAGAGGTTTGTTTCTTATTTTGCCAGGTCTTTCTGTTACCAGATCTAGGAGAGGGCAAGTTTCTTCTCAGGAGAGGGCAGAAAAGCTTCCATTGCTCAAATTATCTCCCTAACTGTTACCATAGCAGCAGGAGGGTGAAGGGGTCAGTGATGGAATTCCTCTGACAGAAGGAAGTCTGAATGTCATTCAAGTTAGAAAAACAGGTGTAGGGCTTTATGAGTACGCTGAAGCAAAGCAGACATAGAGCTCAAGGGAAGAAAGGAATGAGAGCTGGTCAGCCTACATCCTCTGCCTCTGCTTCTTTAACCTTAGGATACTGTTGCTATTTTGTGCTATCAAGCTGGTTCTGATTAATAGCAAACCTGTATAGGGTTTCAGAGAGCGGCTGGTGGGTGTGAACCGCCAACCTTGCAGTTAGCAATTCAGCGCCATACCAGGACATCCCCCTAAGACATTAGGGTGTGTCTTATTACAATTTCACCCAAGACACTGGATACAATGCAGCCACCTGTTTTCATGTGGGCCAACATGCTGAACTCATAAGAAACTTGGTGGCTAGGCCTAGAGCAGTACTCTCCAAATTTGGAACCAAAAACATCTGAGGACTCATGGAAAATGTGGCCATGGAGCACCAAACAGGAGTAAAATAGTAAATGGAGTGGTGGGGGTCCAAAGAGCCATCTGAGATGGGTCTCTGTGTCCCTTTCACCTCTGAAACTTGATAAATAGCTGGTGCTGTAACAGATGAAGACACAGCACTGTACAATTCTCTGCAGCAATTTGTTGCTACACCTAGAAAAGTGTGACCAGTTACAGAAACAGCAGGACTGACTGCTCCAGAGAAAGTGAAAGATCAAAAACCCGTTTCATGCATCGGAACAATGGCCAGTCATGTGACATGAAATTGAAACAGTGGGCTTCCTTAACTTCCTGGGTGTTCACATTTGAAACTTTTTTAAAAATTAGGGAAAAGCTGAGTATGAGAGCAGTATGAGGGTGAGGGATTGAACAACCATTTTGAGATCTCTGGTAGTCTCCCCACCAGGAATGAAACAAAAGGAGCCTTGGACTAAGAAGAGATTCCAAATCTGAGACTTCTCATTAGAAAGAGTTGGAATCCAAGTAGGAATCCCTACATGCCAAGGACAACTGTCAAATCAAAAAGACAATGGAACTAATGTGAAGATTGCTTAAATGGCAAATGGCAAATGTTTTGTTACTTATTTCTTTACCACAAGAAAAGAAAAGAAAAGAACCCAAGCTCTAGACGGTTTCCCACTTGATCTTGACACAAAGGAAGCACCTTCATCTTCTTGGCGTGGAGTTTCTCCTCCTTCAGATGCTCACGAAGAATCTCCCGATGGTTCACCTCCTGCTCTTGAGCAAACTCACAAAGCGTGTAGCTGCGGACAGAGTTATGGCGCTGGGCCATGCCCAGAGAGCTGCCACCCTGGCTGGGCACACTGGTGAAACCTTGGCGCCGGGCGAAGTAATACACAGTCACCTGGTCAAAGCGCACATTCTTCCTCCGCAGTTGCTTCTGTCGTTTCAGGATGGATGTGGCTAAGGAAGAAGCACAGAGTCCTGTTACTTCCTAACCCAGAGACGGCCATGGCCTATGTGGGGACCTCACTCTTCTCATCCATCTAGGGCTCCCTATTCCTGGAGAACCTTCTCATTTTCTAATTATAAATATACATTTGGAAGGGACCTTGAACCTCTAGACTGACTGCACCTAAGCAGATGACCACAAAAGCTGTTTTTTGACATCAGCTGAGAAGACTGCTTTGGAAAATTGTCTCAGGACTTAACAATCTACAGCTACACTATCCAATACAGCAGCCACTAGCCACACATGGCCATTTAAATCTGTATTCATGAAAATACAATAAAATGAAAAATTAGGTTCCTCAGTCCCACTAACCACATTTCAAGGGCTTAAGAGCCACATATAACTAGTGAATTGGACAGTGTAGATACAGAACATTTCTATCAGAACAGAAAATTATATCAGACAGTGTGGATCTATGGCAGGGATCAACAAACTTGTTTTGTTTTTTTGTAGAGATCCAGGAAGTAAATATTTTAGGCTTCAGAGGCCATAAGGCCTGTGCTGTACTTTGTCAGTTCTATCATTGTAGAATGAAAGCAATCATAAACAATATGTAAGCAAATGAAGGTAGCCGTGTTCTAATGAAACTTTATTTATAAAAACAGGTCACCAGCCAAATTGGGCCCATGGGCAACCACTGATCTGTAGTATCGTAAGTTATTTGCAAAAACTAATTGAGCCATAAGAATGAAAAAGTCTGGATCTACCCCAGACCCCAGTTGTTCAGGCAGTTAAGTATGTCCTGCTAGCTACAATTTCCTGAAACCAAATTATCTTACGCTTCAATACTCATTCTACACAATTAAAATCAGTTAGAATAAATGAGAGTTGTGTCTATGATATTACAGCAACAAAAGTCTTCCAAAGAACAAGGTTGTGCTAATAGTAGGAAAAATGATCGTTAAAGCCAAAGCTGGGCAGAAGAAACTGTCTCAAGAGTTGCCCCCTGGGCCCCAAAGCCTGGGTGCAGGCAGGAGGGAGTAGCTCACTCACGTGTGAAGCTAGCAGTTGTCGGAGGATTGAGGCTGTCGCAGCTGTCAGCACTGTCACTGCTGGAGATCTCATCATCTGAGTTGGAAACGGACGAGCCCACGTCCACATCATCAAACTTCCTCTTGAGACCCGAGCCCGTGAATGCATCCATTGGCTTCAAAGGGGTTTCCTTGGGGAGCCTACCACGTTGGCCCCAACACCCCTGCTCACCACCAGCTAGCCAGGCGCATTAGGATTCTGCCCAGGGAGAAAGGGGATGAGCATTCCTGTCTAAGACAGGCCTCCCCCAAGTGTACACACACAGCCCTCTAATGGAAGTAAGCAAGCACCTGAGCTAGCACTCATGGCTGCTCTCTTGAGACTAGGTCATTTCTCTACTGATTTCGGCCACCATTCTCCAGCCTTTTGTTTCCCCTCAGACCCTCCAGTCCCAATCACACTTCCAGTCATGAAATGAGTAGCAGCAGCACCTCTGCCAGTGGAGCTCAAGGCCTTGGGTTCGAAGCCAGCTAGGCTCTAGGCTTCATTAGACCACGGGTAACAGAAGCTGCTCTCTGATCACACAGATCACTCCAAGGGGCTAGGAGGAGGGACTGGAGATCAAAGGCACAGTTAGGATTTCCCTAAACCTAGACCCAGACCTAATTATTTTTCCCAGTGATAATATAGCTTGGCATTTCCCAAAGTGCATACCGTAATATACAAGTTGCAAGACTATTAATAGCTTTTACATGGAAATAGGACAGTTGTGTCAAAATAGTTTGGAACCTCTTAGACTCTTCCAATATGCTAATGAACATGAGTTGTTAAGTGCCATGGAGTCGGTCACTCATAGTGACCCTTTACAGGGTTTTCCAAGGAGTGGCTGGTGAGTGTGAATCACCGACCTGGTGGTCCAGTGTTTTAACCTACAGCGCCACACCAGTACTAGTGTGTGTGTGTGGGGGGGGGGGGATGGTTTGCGAAAACAGAGTGCAATCTTACACAAACCTGGTTAAGGAGCCCTTTATTTCCAACATTAGTGAGCAAGGCGTCCTTGGAACACACTGTATGAAATACTGCTTTGCTTTGGACTCTCATTTTCTAAAGACATTGGCAGCCAGGAAACAACCCTTTACCCAGATCTTCACCAGTATAAAGTGTCTCATCAAGTTCCTAAAAAGGTCAAATTTAATACTGGAGAATGGATGGGAGATTAGAATCTGCACTGGTTTCAAAACCCACAATCTTCCCCAGTCTCATGCCACGTCATGAAACAGGGCTCATCTGATGTCCATCCTCCTCTGTGCAATGAAAATGGAGCTGGACAATCTCTGCCTTCTGTAAAGAAGCCAGGCAAGAGAAAACGAATCACAAAAGAAGTGACAATTTACAGATTACATCAACATGGCAGTTTTCAGCACAACCAAAGAGTCTTGAGATAGTCCACTTTCAAGATAGAAATCTTCTTCCTTCTCCATCTTTGGACTAAGTTCCGGAAGTCCATGAATCTGCTCAGCAGAAATGCTGTCCAAGCTCCAGCCACGTGTGATGAGGTAGGAAGCTTCCCTTGCTCTGCTTCAGTAATGCCAGAATCTCCCCAGACTATGACCTCACTAGTTGCTAATTATGCAGCAGGAACAACACTGCCCAGAAAGACAGGGCTGCATTACTGCAGAGCAGCTAACCAGAATGCACTATGGTGTCTCTCAAGGGCTGCCTGCTCCAGTGCTGTTTCTCTGGGATCAGCCCCTACAGAGCCCACTGAACCTGATAAGTACTTTGAAGAAGACATTTCTCACCCTATCTATTCAGACCTCACCAGAATTCTGCATTCAAATCGCAAAATGTACCTATGAATCCTCAGCCTTTATAGGTCTCAGACAAGCACATTCCTGAAACAAATTTGGCCAGGGAGAAGAAAAATAATCAAGTACTTGATAAGAATTGTAATTAAATTTGAAAAACAAGCCTAAAGTACCAGTTCTGTTCAAGTTACTGATCCTGCTATCAGAGGTCACGTTTCTAGGACATGGTAAGAATAGAGAAAACCAAGGACATTTTTATGGGTTAAGATTTTAGCTGAGTTTGTCGTCTTGGTATGGTGCTGCAGGATAATGCATAATGCACTGGACCCGCAAAGTCAGTCGGACTGCAAGATCAGCAGTTCAAACCCATCAGCCGCTCTTCAAAAACCCTACATAGGGCCGTTATGAGTCTCTTCTGAAGTTGTAAATCTTTGCGGGAACAGAAAGCCTCTTCTTTCTCCCATGGAGTGGCTGGTGGACTTTGTGGTTCGAAGCCCAGCATTTTTCCTACAGTTGTTACCACATTCCCTAAGATTCCTAGAACTAACAAATTTCTTATTTCATTCTACTACTGTGTGGGTCAAGAGTGTAAATAAGATAGAATAACGCTGGCCATTAAGTTTAATGCTGTTTCCCTCTGACTTCAGAAACACCTTTATCAACTCATGAGTAATCAAATCGAGCTGAAAATCTACCTTCTGAAAATGGCCTTGTGCAAGTCACAGCTTCAATTTTAACGGAACTTCAGTTCGTGCTGCACTCAGGAAAAGTGGCTATTTCCTCAGTCTGCAAGCGCTCAGAGGTTTAGGGCTGGAGGTAAATGTACACTCTGGTTCTTTGCACAGGTGTTCCTTTGCTTCCAATACCCTCGCCTACATGTGAGTCTTTCTCCTTCAGTCCCACAGGAGCTTGGGTATCGTCCAAAAGCTTTACAACTAAGATTCTGCACTGTCTTAATCCAGCTGGAGTTACCATTTCTCTTCGGGTTACTTTTTGCACACCCTGCTCCATCGGATAAGTTGTTGTTGTTGTTAAGTGCCGTCAAGTCGATTCTGACCCACAGTAACCCTGTAGAGGGTGGGTTTCCAAGGAGCAGGTGGTGAGCTTGAACCACTGACCTTGCAGTTCAAATGACTTTGCAGTCTGACACGTGAACCCACAGCGCCACAATAAGTACTGGACTGCAAACCACAAGGTCTGGGGTTTGAGAGCCCACCAGCCACTTCACAGAAGAAAGATGAGGCTTTCAGCTCCTGCAAAGATTGGAGCCTTGGAGACTGTAAATCTTTATGGGAGCAGATAGCCTCATCTTTCTCCCTTGGAGCAACTGGTGAGTTTGAATTGTCGACCTTGTGGTTAGCAACCCAATGCTTACTCCATGGTGCCATGAGGGACTGCTATAACTCAGAACTGACCGGGTGGCAATGGGTTGGGTTTAGGGGCAGCCAGGATTGCTGGCTGCTGTTTTCATTCTCTTTTCCCTTTTTTCTGTATCTTCCCCACTTCCACTCCGGAACTGGTTTCTGGGCAATGATGGGGACAGGGGAGAAAGAAGTAAAAATAGGTATGGCATCCAGGAGAAAAATATTTTCCTTAAACTGCCAGAGAAAAAGGTGAATTTGTGGCTTAATATGCATACTGGCCTAAGATCTAACTACTGCATTAACTGAGATGTCACTTCAGAATATTGTCAAGGAGACCCTACCCCACCCAGGACCTGCCAGCATCACTTTCTCTGACATTAACCCGATTACAATAACAACAACAAAAATTCTGTTCTGTCCTGACAACTGATGTAACTTCAGATTTCAACCCTGCTCTCCTTGTCCAACTTTGTTTGAATGTGGGCACCAAGAACAGCAAATCCCATCCACTTCCACTGTGGCTGGAGATCTTTCTTTGCAATAGCAACAATTAGAATAAGTTTCACACATTTTTCACTTCAAATTACACATTAATCACCTTTCAAATTACAACTAAAAGCCAGTCATCTCACCTTTGAACTATTCATTTATGAGGATCAACGCTTACCCTAGGTATATAATCCCCTTGCTTAAATCCATACCGACATAAAGTGCCACTGGAGATGTAGGTCATAAGCGACAGTTAACTGTCAAAATGAACAACTCAAACAGCAAATGCTTTAGGAGGAAACAATGTAAACCTCTATAAAAGCTTTTCAATGCCAGTGAAAAGAAGTATTAGCTGATACTTTCTGGTTACATGCCTTGTGGTCTTTTTTCAAATGTTTCTAGATGAACACTTCCTAAACGTATATAAAATAGTTCAGATCTACAAGTATATATAAAGTATATAAAAGACATTAGGCTGGCACGAGATGAAATACATCTACCAGCATATTTGCATTTTTAGATCTACATTTTTTCAGGCCTATGAGGAGTCCTACAACCACCAAACAGTGATGAAAGACTAGTAAAGGAAGGGGGGGGGGGGAACCACCAGATTGTGGGTACAGAATGTATATGCACATACGCAAAGTTTAGTTAATATAAGCCTCTCCTTAAATGAGTCCAAAATAACAAAGTATTTCTCACAAGAGAAAGCCTCTCCACTGGCCTGTAAGCCAACCTTCTACTAAAGGTCAAGGGGCCCAAATCTCTAGTTTGAGTGACAGGGCCACCACCCATAGCTACTAGAAGGAAGGTTGGTTACTAAGTATTGATACAACTGGATACAATGACCTGTCCTATTTCTCCTTTTAAAAGATAGGATAGAAATTCTCAAATAACAGGAATTTTATGGATTCATGTGTCCTTGGGATCACTGCATGTTAAGTGAAAACATCCTGTCTAAAGTGGGTAGTTAAAGAAAGCAATGACAACCCCGAACTGACTTTTGACCCATTCCTTGATACAAGTTTGAAATCTGGCTTTCCATGTGTAAATCACCATCCTATAGGGAACACAAGATCTGTGTGGGAGACCTGAATACGACGCTGCAGGAACCACTTTATCGGGACATTTGTAACTCTGGTACACACCAATTGCCTGGCTTGGGAGATTTGCAAGATGGACAGTCAGTAAAAGAAAATCTGAATCAACTACGGATTTACCTTGAACTGAAAACTGCAGGACTAAGGGGACAGACAGTACGCCTCCTGGGGACACCGTATAACATTTCATACTGAAGAATGGTTTGTGTGTCAAACTGCCACTCTAAGCCTCTTTAAAAGGATAAATCAAGGCCATAGCACTAAAAGGGATGGATGGCAGGCAGCTGCGTGTTGGGGCCTGTGAATAAAGATCAAGCTAGCAACCAGGGCAAGTGATGCTTTCATTTTCCCATACAACGCCAGAAAAATGGGAAAAATGGGAGACATCAGGAGCTAAAGGGACATGTCAAGTCACCAGTTTCCCTCAATGGATACCCGTGCTGAATTCTTCCGATCTGGGCTCATTTCTCTTTGATTCTTACTAACCTCTTCCCGCTCATTCCAATCATCTGCAGCCCCGACCTAGCCTTCCTCATCCCTTCCTGCCTGCTACTCACAAATTCCCAACCACTCCTCCCACATTTTCCCCTATCCTCCCTCCCCCTTTCTTCACTTCCCTCCATCCTACATCATCTTCACTCCATTCCGAACTCAAGCGTCTCTCGCAATCCTGCCGGCTTTCCAGCCACCCATCGGTCTTCCCTGCGCTGCCCCCGCAGCCCCGGCCAGTGTCCTCGGCGCCCCTCGCTCCCACGCCTCTTCCTGACTCCTTTCCTTCCCAGCGGCGCCCTAGCTCCCCGCCCCCCGACCGCTCCCGTCCGAGCTTCCTTCATTTCTGACCCCTCCATCCGCACGGCTCGGGGCTTGACCACTCCTCCACAGCCTCCCGAGGGCCGATCCCGAGAAAGGACGAGGCGGCACCCTCCGCCCCGCACCCCCAGGCCCATTACCGGCCCCGCCGCAGCTGCCTCCTCCCGTGATGGTCTCTGCCGCCCCCGCTGCCGCCGCCGCCCTAACCCGGGTGGGAAGGAGGAAGGAGAACGAGTCCCAGGCCCCGCGGCGACGGTCGGGGAGCTCCCAGGGCAGCAGGGCGGGGAGGTAGGGTGGGTGGACAGACCGGCCGGCAGGCGGCGGCTGGCGGGCAGCTCCGGCAACTCGTAAGCCCCTGGCAGTAGCTGCACAGAACCGCCCCGGCTCCGGCTAACAATAGGCTCCGGCCGCAGCGCTCTGGCTCTTATAGGCGCCGGCACGTCCTGGCCGAGCCCCGGGGCAGGATGGGAAATGGAGTCTACGTGCGACCCCACGCCCAGCGGCATGCCGGGAGTTGGAGGCAGAGAGGGGCTCAAAGCCGAGAATCAGCAGGCGAACAGGCTTGGGAGGCGGGGTCTCTCTGCTGCAGCGGACCCTGGGAAAGCGAGTTTAGGGTCGATGCAGCCTTTTGAAGGGGAAGAGAAGGGACCCTCAGCACTGATCTTCAATGACTAAACAAATTCTCCATCAATCCTCCCATTTTTCTGTTTCTAGGACATGGAGCCATAGTCCCATGCCTACGGAACATAATACTCCTTCTCCTAGCTCAAAGATTCTTACTCTTCAGCAACCTGACTTGCTGGTGCCTACCCAAGGTACAAACAAAAACATAAAGTAGAAGCAACTATTATTTACTGAGTTATCCATTTATGTGACGTACTGATTTATGTTTTCCTTCAATCCTTTATTTTTTTGTTTTTTAATATTGTCTGATCTTGACAACTCCACCCCCTTTTTCTTTGCAACGCATTTTTAATTGGGAGAAGACGACTCAGAATTCTGTCAGAAGTTTTATGTGATTTGCCACTGCCATGCAACCTTGGTTTCTTAGTAATGTCTCCTTCTTGACCTTTGTTATTAAGTTCCGACTCATAGCGACCCTGTATGGGGCTTCCGAGGAGCAACTTGAGTTTGAAGCGCCGACATTGTAGTCCAGTGCATTAACCTGCAGCGCCACACAAGGTCGTAAAAGATGTAGTTGCATCCACTTTACCCTTTTTATTCTCCCCTCCCACTATGCTCAACTCCACTGGTCTACTGTCCTCCTAGCAGTTCTATTTTTCCACCTGCGAGGTGCCAGGATTAATGCCAGGACTGCAAGGTGGGCGGTTCAAACTCACCAGTCATCCCTCGGAAATGCCATACAGGTTGCTGAGTGTGAACTAATTCGACAGCACTTAATCACAGACTTACTCCTTCGCTTTATACTCAAATGTTCCCTTACCAGACAGACCTTCTCTAACCATACTTGCTAAAACGGTGTTTCCCCTTCAGTCTCAATTTCCTTGCCTTTTATCTCTTCATAGCATTTAGTATCTAATTTTTGTTTTCAATCTTCTTTCACTTGACCAAATTCCTTGAGAGCAAGAAATTAATTGGTTTGTTTACTGTATCCTCAGCACTCTTACAAAGTTCACTGGTATTTAGCATTTAGGAGCCTTGGGCATTTTAACTGGGTAATTGGGTGGGTGGGTAGATGTATGCCAGGATTTGAACTCGTTAGGCTTTTTACTAAGCTGGGTACATTTTTACTGCAACTAAGACACTATGTGGAGTCCTGGTGTGGCACTGTAGGATAAGCACTGGACTGCTAACCACAAGATAGGTGGTTCAAACCCATCAGCGGCTCCTTGGCAACCCTATGTTGTTAAGTGCTGTCGAGTAGGTTCAGACTCATAGCTACCCTTATACAGTTTCCAAGAAGCGGCTGGTGAATTTGAACCACTGTCCTTGCAGTTCAACCCCACCTTTTGGTCCAATGCTCATACAGAGTTGCTATAAATCAGAACTGACCTAGTAGCACTCAGCAAGAAACCTGGGAGCCAGATTTAGTGGTTACCAAAACATTTGTTTTAGAGAGTTTGAACGACTTGGGAGAAGTGCCAAGAATTTCATTCCTTTTCCTTAACTGACATCAGAGGGAGTAGGAAATGAATTAAATTGCAAAATGCAAAAGCTGATGATTTCCTTATCTGCTAACATTTAGGTGTGATAAGAGCTAAGAGCTCATGATCAAAAGTGTGAAACCCGGAGCCAGATTGCTTGATTGTAAATCCTAATTCTTCCACTTACAGTGATCTTGGACAATTTAGCTTCCTAAATGTGCAAACTGGAGATAATAATATGTATCCCATAGGGTTTTGTAAAGATTAGTTAATATCTCATAAAATGTTTACAACATAAAATGTTTACAACATAACAGTACTATATAAATGTTATCAAAAGTTTCTATTCAGTTGTTCAATAGGTTCTGTTCACGATTTTGTTTTTCCTAGACACAAAGAAGGAAAATAGGAAAAGTCCCCAGACTACTCTGCAGAATCTGTTAAATGACAAAAAACTAGCATAAAGCCATGTTGGATAAGCTAAGGAAATGTCTCAAATGTCTACACACCCAGAGTGGTGGATATTAGGGTACCACTGACCCTAATGCCAAAGCTTTGTTGGTTCATGCCATGAAACTAGAAGAAAGCTAAATCCAGGCCAGCAAATCCTTTGAGAAGATGTTAAGTTGCTAAGTGCTATAGAGTTGGTTCTGACTCACAGCAACCCTGTATATGGTTTCTAAGGAGCAGCTTGTGGGTTTGAAATGTTGACCTTTTGGTTAGCAGCCTAGTGCTTATCCTACAGCACCACATCAGGAGAAGTTAGCAGTCCAATCAGTCAAAAGATCTGAGTAGAAATGCTGAAATGACATCTGGACTTGTAACATCACAATTTGTCATAAAGTCATTTATTCACATTTTTTTGTTATAATAGAATCACTAAGTCAGTTACTACATTGTCAGTACACCCAAAATAACTGCAATTCTGCTCCAGCCTAAGAAGAAATCATGAAGGGCAAATGTCAGGAGGCTTTTGTCTAGAAAGCTCAAGTACAATAGAATAGAAAATACAAAAGAAGTAAAAAGAAATACTGTATTATTAATGTGAATGACATTAGACATCTAATTTCAAATGGATGCAACCTATGTAAGGACCAGCTTGGGCTACACAAATCATGGATGGGTGGTTTGTTTTGGGGGCAAAGATGTCTAAGCAGACCAAGAGAAAAAGGCATGTGACCAACAACAGGCAACTGCACACAGCAACCATATATGAAAACCAAAAATCAGATTTCATTCACTCAACAGTATTTTTATTTTGGTTTTACACAGTTACAGCTACATGTGTATATGGTCAACAGTATCCTAAATTTATCAAACAACTGAATAGTTGCTGGGCTTTATACCCATCACCCTTTTAACTTCCGAAAGCCTTAAGACTTCAGCATTCTCTCTTTTTTTTTAGATATGAAAGTTAGGTTTGAGAGATTTTTTTCCCCAAGGTCACTCAGAAAGCAAGATCTGGGATTTGAATGTAGGCCTATCTAACACTGAAGTATATGCTGTACTATCTCTTACCATCAAAAGATAAATGAGAATACTCGCTCCAGAAAAGTGAAAGTAAGTAGGACAGAGAATAATACGATCTTCTTAGAGAAAAAATTAAGATGAAATTCTGTTCAATTATATTTGCTTTTCTGATGAAACCTGTAGATTTATCTTTGAAGTTGAATGTTACTTCCCTACTTTAGCTATATTCCAGACCTAGTGAGACAGACAATTCCTCTTTGTGATTTACTCTACACTGACAGCAAGAGACCAGTATGTGTAAATCTGGAAAAAACATGGTCCCACGGCAGATAACAAAAAAGCTGTTATGAGTGGATTCAAGGACAGTCTTAAGAAGGCCATGCATACATTTATTTATGTAAATAACACACGTACATAGTTCCATCAAAAAAGCAAAATAGCAATCAGGTTTGAGGAGTGAGTTTAGAGAGGGCAAGCTTAATCTCAAAGAGGTACATGAAAACCTAAAGTAAAGTTATAAAGATATCTAAGGAAAAATATTAACTAAATCCTTACTGAAAACTTACGAGGTCAGGAAGAAATCAGGAATCTGCAGTGATTAAAATGAGCAACATATACTTCAGCTTAAACAAATCTTATACATGAGAGCACAGACTCACATAAGATATTATTGCTCATGTACCGAAAGATTCCATACAGTAAAAAATGGAGACACAATAGCAGTACTTTAAATAGAAAGTTATAATTGACATACATCCAGTTGAAATTTTTAAGCTATATATAATTTAAAATCTTTGAATTTCAGCATGGCAATGCTAGATCTAGATGCAATTGTCAAGGTAACATTGTTGAATATCATAGCTTAGATCTAAGCTGACACAAAACATCAGATCTGGAAGCAAGGAAGGATACAGAAAAGATGTGGAAATGGATGGAAGTTCAAGGTCACCGGTAAAATACAAGGTTATTAAAAGAAGCATGGAAAAAATAAAGAAAAATGTAGAAAAATACAGGTGCTGGTGACAGTTTGAAATCACAGAGAACCATTTCAGCTCATTCCATTTTGCAGTATTCTTTCTCATTTAAGCCTTGTTGTTAAAGTGCCATTGAGAGGGTTCTGACTTATAGAGACCCTGTATAGGGTTTCCAAGGAGCAGCTGGTGAGTTTGAGCCACCAACCTTGTTGTTCAGAACAACCTTGAGATCCAGTGCTTTATCCCACAGCACCACACCAGAACTCCTTAGATACAATGAAACAAAACTTTAACCACAAACTAAAATATTTTAGCAGAAAAGCCTTACCCCACTACTTAGAGAACAGAACATTTGCAGGAAGAAAACCAGGGAAATGCTGTATGATTATTCTATCTTGTTGCTAAATGCCACTGAGTCGGTTCTGGCTCACAGCAGCCCTGTATAGGATTTCTGAGGAGTAGTTGATTGGTTTGAATCACTGAACTTGCAGTTAGTAGTCAGTGCTTCTCCTACACAAGAACCCATGTTGTTGTTAAGTGCTATCAAGTTGGTTTCAACTCACAGAAACCCTGTATAGACAGGGTTTCCAATGAGCAGCTGGTGGGTTTGAACTTGACATGGTGATTCACAGTCCAGTGCTGATCCTATAGCCCCACACCAGGAGTCCAGGACTCATGAATTAGTATATAAATGATATAGTCAGGTG